AATTACTTTTATTTATACATCCCTGGCATATTATATATATATTTATATATTTTATAATTTATTTTATTTTGATTTTAACATCATTTCTGCAAGTTTCTGCAGTCAAAGAAATCCTTAGGTGGGGATTATTCCACCAGCGCTGACATCAAGGAGCAGTTGGACTGCTCTGTCCTTGTAAGTACGGAATTTTTTTTCTACCTACAATATACACCTATACAGAGAGCACTATTTGGCTTGTTTCTGTTCTCTTTGAGTTTCTGGATACCACTGAAGAACCGACACTCACCACATATCCCATAAGCGGGGATTATACCGCTGTGTGCGCTTTACCCTAGAGCTGGACAGAAGCTCTATAAAATTGTGAGTTTGATACCATTATTCATATTTTACTTCACTTGATACAGACAATCTGCACTATCGGTTGCTCTCTCCTTTTATCTTTTATATCATACCTGAAGATCCTGTTCCTGTACCCTAGGACGGCAGAGAGGACACTTTTTTAGGTTGGATTTTTATTATACCACTACCATCATTTGGACTGAAAACTGTTTATTTAGCTTGGCGCAGCCCTCTTTACTTTTATACTCTATTTTTCTTCAGCCCATGACTAGCTGGTCTCTGATTATTGGGTTACACATTTCTCCATAATTACATGATTTACTCTTCAATTTCAAGTCAGGGACATACTCCTCAATAGTCTTTTTTCCATCCTGCATTCTACATCTGAAAAGATACCTTTCATAGGTTTAATTTGCGTACACAGTATTGTTCAAATTTGTCTAGAACAACCCAATAATCATCCCTTTCGTCATGTGTAAATGTGAAGGTGTTATACACATCTATTGCTGCTGATCCTGCTACAGTCAGAAAAAGTGCAATCTTTTGTTCATCATCTTGTGCCTGAGCACCTATAGCTCTAACCAGGCCCGGACTGGCCATCGGGCATACCGGGCAAATGCCCGATGGGCCGTGATGGCCGTGGGCCGAGGCCGGCAGGGGAGATCACAGAATCTCCCCTGCCAGACCCTGCAGGGCCAGCGCGTCATCCAAGCGCCAGCCCTGCTGTGTGCCTCCATGGGCCGGTGGGGAGATCAAAGATCTCCCTCACCGGCCCAGAGGCACTTTTACAGGCGGCTGCAGGCTGGTGAGGGAGGGAGGGAGGAGAGGACCGGTGGAGCTCTAACCAGCAGCTCCGCCTGGTCCTCTCGCGAGATTCTGAGCGTTGCTGCGGTTACCACGGCAACGCTCAGATCTCGTGAGAGTGAACTCTAGCCTGCAGGCTAGAGTTCCCTGTCACCACTAGGACCACCAGGGAAGGCAGCACTGCACTTCCCCATGGCAGTATGGATCCTCCCCTCCATGGAAACCCGGCTCCCCCCCCACCTCCCAGGCTAAAGGTGAGAAGGGAGGGGGGGATATAACTTTTTTTTAAAAATTATTAATAAAAAAATATATTTTAATTTAAATAAAAAATAAATTCACACTCACAGGACCCAGACAAACACAGCACCCAGACACACACAGCACCCCCAGACACACACAGCACCCAGACACAAACAGCACCCCCAGACACACACAGCACCCCCAGACACACACAGCACCCAAACATACACAACACCCCCAGACACACACAGCACCCAAACACACACAGTGCACCCAGACACACACACACCGTACTCTCAGACACACACAGCGCACCCAGACACACACGGCACACCCTTTAGACACACACAGCGAAACCTCAGACACACACAGAGCACCCTCAGACACACAGCACCCTCGCTCACACACACAGCACACTCCCACACATATATATATATATAATATATATAAAATAACCCTCAGTGAGTTAACATTAGAAACCTAGAATGTGACGGCAGATAAAAACACCCTCACACACAGCACCCCTCTTACATACACACACACTGCGCCCCTCACACATACAATACGCCCAAATAAATATATATATATATATACATATATATATATATACACACACACACACACACACACACACACTACAGCACCCCTCACACTGCACCACTACACACATTACGCTCCAGATACACGCTAGATCCCTTACCCTATATGCACTCTTAATCCTCTATACACACACACACACACAATCTCCTATACACACTCTGGATCCTTTACACACTAGATCTCCTACACACACACACACACACACACACACACTGCACCACCTACACACACTACATTCCTTGTCAGCAAACACATACAACATTCTCTAAACACACCCACTCTACAACCCCTACACACACTACGTCACCTATACACACATACTACAGCCCATATACACACACTCGCTACATACCCTATAACACTATGCCCCCTATACACACATTCTCTACAGCCCCTAGCCACACATATTACACCACAAACACAAATGAAATTGACCTATTTACACAATACCACACCACACTCTACACACACGCAATCCCACAAGCAGGCTCCAAACACATGCACCATACACTTTCCTGGCCCTTTTGTCCTCTGGTATCCCACTTGTGGAGACACCAGAGACAATTTAAAAGCAAACATAGTGCAAGCATGTTATTAAATTTGCATGCGCTGCGCAGAACAAATTCAGGGCCTTTTTCTAATGCCAGAGTTCTTCAGCGGGGCTCTGCGCATTGAACCAACATGCTCACTTTGAGAGGGGGCGTGCTTGTAATTAGTGATGACAAAACACACCCTCTCTGGCCCCGCCCCCTTCTTAGGGGGGCGCTCTGATTGAAAAATGCCCATGCCTAATTTTTTCCCAGTCTGGCCCTGGCTCTACCATATAGCTGGAATCTTTGCTTAAATCTCAGCCATGAATCTTCCATATTACAAGTCATTTTTAATTCTGGTGGAGGATTTAACTTTTCCATCTTTATGTTACTGACTGTCGGTTTATTTTGTTGTCAATTATGCAGTATTAATGTATAAGACTGTAGTGCTCCTCTGTTTGGAATCACAGGCAATTGTACATGTAATAGTGCACTTACTCAGTTCATGTGAAGCTGCTGTAGTCACTGCCTGAGCTTTGGCCCACTCTCATTCTATTTGCTGCAAAGATGGCCTATGGATTCCTGACTCCTTGCATGTCAGTTCAGATGGAAGCAGGGGAATTCTTATTCTGACACCATGTTTTATCTTGTTTGTATAAGGAGATCAAGCACATGTCTTCATAACTGTAAACTTTATTAAGAATGGCCACCCCTGACCACCCACACTCCGACAATGCAACGGCCACTTCCTGACTGTACCATTGTGCACATAACAACAGGTTAGATATGGTTCATGCCAACTGATAATCTCAATATCACACAGGATTGACACATGGAAGGGACTGAGAGGGAAATTGACACATGGAAGGATCTTGGGGGGAATTGAGACACACGGATGGACTGGAGAGTGAGGGGGGGCATTGACACATGAAAAGGGCTAGGGGTGAATTGAGACACACGGAGGAACTGGGGAGGGAGGGACGGGGTGATTGAGACACATGGTCGAACAGAGAAGGATTGACACATGGAAGAGGCTGGGTGGAGATGAGCAGGGCCAGATTAAGAGCCCAGTGGGCCTGGTGCTGACAATTATGACGGGCCTAATTACAGAATCATTTCGACCAAAAACAGTAAAACACTCCCAAGCATCATGTATCTGATGGAGATGGTGCTGGAGAGAAAGAAAATAGCAGCTATAAGAAAACACATACCCTAGGCTAATCTCTCTCTAATTTATGTTTTCATCTTTCAAGTATATCCATAACCCCTAACAGCAGTGTCCAGTCAAGCGGGAAGTCAATGGGCATGGGCATAAAAGGGTGTGCCACTGACACAAATCACGTAACCTGCCAAAAGGGGCGAACATGCCCAAAAAGAGGACATGTCTGCTCAAAGAATTAGAAGGCCAGCCTGGCATGGATGCATGTCAGGCTGCCTGCCAATCATGCAGCTGGCCAACTAAGGGCATACTATGCAGACAGCACCCTGAGCTTGGCATAAATGCATCTAATGATGCGCTCACTCAACGCTTTCTAAGGACTGTCCCCTAGCACTCGCTGGTCCACTTGTCTCCTTACCTTCTTACTAGCAGGCAGAAGCTCCTGGTATATGGTCTGGGACAGAGAAAAGCTGTATGTAGTGAGTTTAGAAGAAAGGGAACATGCCACAGTGTTAGAGAGACCAAAGTCAGCATTACCTTAAAGATTCACTATAGGGTCAGGAACACAAACATGAATTCATGACACTATAGTGTTAACACCACCATCTAGCCCCCCTGGGCCCCTCATGCCTCCATAAATATAGCAAAATCCTCCTATATTCAAGCCTGAAGCTGTAACTCTGCATGCTGTTAGACTCATAAAAAGAAGCAGTCGGCTGACATCATTAGAAGTGATGGCCTGATCCAGTCACAGTGCTTCCCCATAGGATTGGCTGAGACTGACAAAGGGGCAGATCAGGGTCAGAGCCAGCATGATTCAAACACAGCCCTGGCCAATCAGCATCTCCTTATATATATTGTAACCGTGTGTGGTTCCCTTATTTACCACTATAATGTCTTAAAGCATATAACTTAGTAGGGCTAACCATACAGATATCTTAGCCATAATTTTATATAGTGTAAGAGATCCTCTATTTAACATATATAAATAATTGAGAATACAATATAAAATAAGGATTGTCTTTGAAGCAAGATTGTCTTTTGGATATTTATTATATAAAAATATAAAATCCATTATAGCAGAGTTTATAAGATTATATTACATGCTTGCAAATATCATTAATAGGTTAACATACCCTTCTGAACATGTCATCATGTCAGCCTCTCTGTCATTGTAAGATGGAGCAGCGTCTGTCTCCAAGTCTCTCCTCTGTGTCTTAACATTTAAAAGTACACCTATTTATACCTTAGGTGTCTCCATTTTAGGTTACTGTAGTTCAAATATGAAAAAGTAACACTTCTTTTACTTTATTCAATTTAGGACCTCCCTTAATTTGGCAAACATACAAGGCCATAACTAAAGTGTGTATACGTCATGGAAATTTTCCTGACTTAGTTCAAGATGTCATCTTAAAGTCTGAATAGGTTATCTGTTGTTTATACTAAGTCGTAAGTGTACAGTCGCGGGAGATTCCAGGATTTGGGGAAGTTCCATTAACTTGGGGTTACCACAGTATATTGTGTACTGCAAGAGACGTAGCATAGCCTTGAAGCTTGTTTATGCATTATTGTTATTGTAATTCGTCTGGGACAAAATGGCGCAAACATATTATGCACTGAGGTTATTGCTTAAAGAAACAGTTATGAAAAACAATATGTTCCATTTCTAACACCTTGTCAGTTTGCAATATCTCTAAGAGGATATCTCTAAAACAATATGTTCCATTTCTAACACCTTGTCAGTTTGCAATATCTCTTAAAGACAAAGTACACAGTTTAAGAAATACAACATTTCATTCTAAAACTTGTAATATTTGCATTTGCCTGTAACACCCTCTCCATTAAACTGTGGGCATTGTAGCGCATTTCTTCCTTAAATTAGTGAACTAAAGTTCTCCAACTGTCTTTAGGTTTTTTTATGCTCCCAGCATCTTTGATCATTGTTGTAACAGTATAATATCCGTAGTGTGATCTTTGCCTGTAAAGGTGGTTGATTAAAATGAGCAAAGCTTTTGTCTGGGAAAGAATTGAAAAGAACACCAGGTTCCAGAGTAAGATATTCTTGGATAGATCCGGATACGAATTGTAATCCAAAGTTAAAAATAGTAATTGTATTTGTAATCCAAAGTCTTTAAAGGCCTGTAGAAGTTTACATTCCTTAGATACATTGCTGGAGGTTGTGTTTGTAGAATGCCCGGGTATTTGTTGTAGAGTATAGGTTGTAAAGTCCAGCTTTCCAAGTATATGGATTGAATTGGTTGCAGATATTGAATCAGCATCATCTGTTATCACCGTGGTGATGGTGTTGGTATTTGTCTTTGTCTTTTATTTTGTTTTTTTCATGAAACATTTTTACACCATTTATGATGTGTATAGATTGGATACTCTCCGATATTCTTTTACGGTATAAATTAATTGACATAATTTCCAAGACCTTGTCTTAAGTGACATGGATCCCATTATAGTAAATGTTATGTTGATACAGCAATCGAAGTGGATTCTAAGGAACACCTCTTTTTGCTGTATTGGAATCTTTGTAACATCTCAGTGATAGACATCTCACTGACATCAGGTGCTGTTGTGCTAAAAATGTTAACAGGTAAAATCTGTGGAAAAATCTTTACATTTGTTATACTTTGTATAATAATGATAGATGAAATAGTAACATAGTTAATCTTTCTAGTGTTTTGTTTTAAAGATAAACACCCTTGTATATGATTTAGATATATAAGGATAATTTGAAGCAGCAAAGTATTTACCGTCTTTGTTCAGAATGGTATGTAAAATTACATTCTCTTTAAATGTTAAAAATACTACTTTATTCAAAATGTCTCAATATATTTAGAATAGTTGATAATTGGAAATATGACGTTAATTATCTTTCTTTGACCTGTTAGGGAGAAGACAACTTATTCCTTAGTTATTATTGGCTTAAAATACCATAAACACCCAAAAATTGTTTTAAAAACATTTTTTTTTTTTTTTTCAAGATCTGACAGCCATTGTGGAAAGTTACGTTCGTGAGATTGGATGCTTAACAATGTGAATCTTAATTGTTTAAGTATATTTTTCAGTGGCTGTTGGATTTAATTTTAGATGATTTGAATATTTATTATTTCTAAAAGTGAGTTAAGAAAGCATTCAGATAAAATATTGAAGGTATTTATATTTTAACTCTACCTTTGTACAGGTGGTTTTATGTTCCTTTAACCATCACAAACCAAATAACATTTTCTTGGTATTTGAAAAACTGATAAAATATCTGATTACGTTTATTTTAATATACATAGAATGGTATGGATGTTGAATTTATATCTTAGAACTCATTTCACCAGTTTGCAATAGGTGACCTAAATTATTAATTTCTAAATTCATCATGTATATCACCTGGATGGGTTAATCAATAATACTCTTTTACTTTCCATTGACTGGCCTTAGCTCTGGCAGACTGGATAGGTTTATCATTATAAATAAACTTTATGATAGTTGAAGTAAAGTTTCTGCCTGTCTTTCAGTTAAATTTTATATTAATTATACCACTCTGCAAACTTAAACGAATATCGAATAGTTTCTGATTTAATAAAAACATTTTATATTTTCTTCTAAAGTTTAAACATTATTCATTATTGCAGTTGTTATTGCAATCATATGATCTTTAACTATCAATTATTCATCTGGGTAATTAGCTGTTATACTCTTCTACGTATGTCTAATATATTTATTTGTAGGCCAGACTGCAGCTGCATATGGCATTTTAGCAATAATCTTCAATTGCGTTTCAGATATTCACAAAGTCTATCCACCTTTGTAATTAACACATTATGTGTTTATCTTATACCATTAATTATAGTATCTGTATTATATTACACATTGTCACTGACACATTTCTGATACAGGGAAAAAAATAGCATGATTGCTTTAGTAATTATAATGTCCATGCACCACATTCCTGGAAGTCCAGAATATAGCAAGAATCCTTTGTCGTTTGATTCTATGGAGCCATTTAACGTTTTGATTGGTATAGTTATACCAAAAGAGCAAGGAGTACGATGGTAGATCACATCTGCAACAGAACCATTACAGATTCTTTGTTGTATCAATGTCTCTGTGTTTATGTTTACAGGAGTTCCTTGCTTTGCAGGTATGTACATAATATGTAGAGTTTAAGAAAAGCTTCAAATCGTGCTTTAGTACAAGTGTCCCGTGATGTCAGGTTTCTGAAAGATTTTGCTGGTCTTTTATATTCCATTCTCTTGGCAGAGCATCTGCTCTTAGTAGGTCGGTATTGTTATTATTTATTAATTGCATCAAGGTTTCTTTCGATAATTGATGTGTTTCTTCCGAATTCAAATTTATATGCCACCAAATGTCATTGTAAAGTTCATTGTTACAGAATATTGTTCCAGGATGGTTTTTCACTCCAGTAGGAAATCTATATTCCTCTTCTTCTGCAACTTCCTATTAACCACTTTTTCTGAGTTGTAGGCAACAATCTGTGTCTTGTACTGTGAGGTGCTTTGATAGTCAATCAGGTTTTCTCAGTGCCATGTTCCATCTTAAGAAATAGCTGGGTGTTGACAGTTATCAACTTTTATTTATTTTTCCGGTCATCTTCTGTCGGGAAACATAATAGCAATGTCCAGAATTAGCATAGCACTTCTTTTCAGCATAAGAAGGCTGTTTGCGGTAGTCACTCAATGATAAACTATATGGCAAAGTCTTTTCTTAATCACCTTCATAGGTGCATCCAGAGTCTTTCACAAGCATCTGTCCCGTCTTTTTCTGTTTTCAGCATGCTTTGCCATCATCGTTGAGTCCATTATTAGGATTTGTAATAGTCCAATCACATCTTTCTCATGTATAATCATTTTTTTGGAATGATCTCAATAGGTTCCTTGTGAAATACCAGTGTAGGCAATCATTTCACTGTGAGCTGTGTCTCTCCTTTTGAGATAGTTCTTGGAGGTAGTCCTCACGATCACAGAACTTGTATAGTGTGCAGTCCAATTCAGTTCAGTTGCTTCCTGCTTGTTAACGTAATCCCAATGCGGTTTTAAAACGACAGCTAGGGTTGATGTTATGATAATGCTGCAGACTGTAAGAAGGAGACACCAATTTTCTAGCATCCTTTTGCTTCCATCTTTGCATTTCTTTCTTACTGTACAAGATAATTCAGGTTCAGTCTGTTTTCTCCAGAGTCTTTCTTATAATGATGTTGATGATTCATTTTTCATTCATTCCATGTTAACTGTGAATGTATCACGTCTGTCTGTTTATCCTTCTCCTTCACATTTGCAGGTTCAGATGTCAGATCATGATTCAGTCTGTTACATGGCTATGATTCTGGTGGCTTTTCTGTCGTCCTCTGTTTGTTTTATCTTGCCATCTTTAACAGCATCCATTGTGTCAGTCAGTGGTTCTGTGAATGTCCTGTTAATATTTAGCAGGTTGTAAAATATCAAAACTTACTGTTCTCTGTTGGCTCTGATTGTTCTCTGTAGTAAAAGTTATCTGAGTCACCCTCTCCAGGACAAACTGGCCAACAGAAGGAAATAGCTGGTGGTGCAAGGCGAGGTGGGCTGGAAAAAAAAATTCCCTCAATTTCTCTAATAGAACCAATGGTTCTAAGCTCTCCCTGGTGCAGAAATATGTTTGTCAGTGAAAAACATGTAACATTTCATATGGTGTCTCACCATTTGTATCATCAGGTATGTTGTGAATTCTTATCTGTACCATAGGAATAAATAGATACCACTGTGTGGGGCAAGCAACTAGTAACTTGGTTAATAATCATTTAACCTCAGCATTTTCCCAGACCACAACCCCACTTCTTTGGGGGTGGTTGGGGCACTGAAATCCCAAAGTAACCCAAATGTGGTTGCCCAGTTTTAGGTTTCCTTTGCAGTAACTGCAGGACCACCATCCAAATGGATGGTCCTGGGATTATCAAATGCATACTAAGGAAGTGAGACTAGAAAACGTGGCATCAGAGGTTGCACTTCGCACAGGATAGATCCAAGTAAACCTGGTACATACATCAACACATACAAAAACATATTTATAACCATGAGATGTTGGCAAACTTCCAATATATAGTAATCCAAAAAGTATGTTAGATATTACTTTTTCAATAAACAGTACATCAGTAATGTGGCAATAAGCAAATGCTTATGATTACTAAACACATGAATTACAGTATTTCCCATATTGTGACCACCAATATTCCTTTTCAGGAGTCAGAAGTACATTACCTCTCTATAAGAGCTTGTCCTAGCCATGAAAAAGCTTTTGGGCAAGTCTATCTTTCCTCTATAGGAAGAACAACCAACATATTACCTTCAATGGTTATTATGTAATTAACCCCTCTAAACGATAGGAGTATTTAAGCGGATACCAGGTGGATAAGGTCTGGATATCCTTGCAAGCATAAACTCTGCATCATGACTGAGAGATAGGGTATGCGATGCGATCCAATGACCACAGAAAAGCGTTGGTAGACACATTGCATCAAAGTGCCTGTTAATGACCAACTACATGAGGAGAGGGACCATGCTTTGTTATAAGCATGTCCATACATGTATTACAATGCCAGGCTTTCAATTTGTTTCCACAAAGCAAAATGCAGTTGTGGATATAAACTCACAACGTATCGTAAGAAAAAC